GGAATAATGACCCCCTGAAAGTGCCACATGTTCTCAACACTTCAATACTTACTGATTTGTCTTGCTCAATCTTCGCCTTTGCTTCCTGCAGCTCTTTCTCCAGACAGGTGATCTTCTCCTCGAATGCTGTTATGTATTCAAGATGTTGCACCTATATCTACCACATGAAAAGAAGGAAGAGAAAGAGAAATATGCGTGAGAAATGTAAACGAAGAGGGAAACGTGCCTTGTTGATAACCTCGAGAGAGTTCTTTCTACTTTCAGATGAGCTTGATTCGCCTTCCAGAACTTTTTTGCACACCTCTTCCCACTTTGCTCTTCCAGATGATCGTTCAATCTCCAGCTGCAATGTTATGGTCGTTGTAAGGATACAAAGAACGTTTACCACCCACTCTCTCACAGTAATCCTAACTCTTCATATAATGCACTAACCTCTTCCTTCAGGTGTTCCAGCTCCTTTTTCACAGCAGTTGTTTCTTGAAGGCCAAAACGGGCGTTGTCAAGCTCGGACCGAGCAGCAAAAAGTTCCTCTTCCATTCGATTGATCCTATCCTGTGTTTCTCCCATATCAACTCTTTGACTCGCCAGATTCGCTTCGGCTTCCTTGAGCTCTGCTTGCACCTCCGATAGTTCCCGTTCCAATTCGTCAGACTTCTCCCGGGCTCGCTCCAGTTCGTCTTTAGTCTTCTTGAGCTCTTCTTCAACTGCAGCTTCCTAAAAGTAGGTTTTCATGAAATATCACAGACATACTAGCGAAGAGGGGATCCAACGTATTCATGCCAATCTTTTTCGCTAATTCCGTAGCTCCACCTTTTATGCGGGCAGGGAGAACTCCCATCATACGACCCTCAAAAGAATTTTCTTCTATGGTACAACCCCTCTTCCCCATCCTCCATCCCACCTACCATTTCCAATTGTTCTACCACTTTCAAGGTTTTTTTTTCAGAAATTCCTCCATTTTTTTCCAAAACATTGCCATCGAGGGGGAGGGGAAAAGACACAGCGCATTTAAAAGAGGGAAAACGGAGAAAAGTCTCCTGTGGGGATCCTCAACGTGCGAAATGCCTTGGCATGATTCCTTTGCGCGCAGTTTTGAATTAGCTCGGGTCATCAAGTAGAGCAGGTCATTGATTACCAATATTCCTGCTCCTATTTCAAGTTCTGAAAGATCTGAATATGCGCCACTAATGCCCCCCCCCCCTCCTCCTACCCCCTCCACGGACTGACTCAGCGTTCGTTATACTCACTCAGCGCGGAAAGGGCTGGGGGAGGGCCAGACGTGCCACACATGCTTTTTTGTACTGTATCTGGCTCCGCTCTTACAACAGTCATAACTAATGGTAACAGAACACGTCGTACATTGGTGAACCCCCAGCGTGGGGAGGGTCGTAATTGGTCGCTAGGGGAGAGGGGTCGTATTTGGTCTGAGGATTTTTTTGATTTCTCTTGTTGCACGGAGGCTGTAGGGGGGGTGGAGTCGTAGTTGCCTCTGAGAGAAATTTAATGTGTTGAAAAAAAATTTTCCGCTGATTGTAGGCTTTTCGCAGGTCTTTTTCGTTTCTGTACTGTATGGTAGGATAGGGAAGAGGGAAGGTCGTACTAGATGAGGGAATCAGGGGGTAGTAATTCCCGAAGATTTTCCCCAGCAGCAGAACGTACCCTGAATGGTAAGGCGATTGACGTCACTTTCTTAATGGCAGTGGGCACGATGGTTGGGGGCGGGCGGTTGCTGTCGACGTCATTGGTGGAAGGGATGAGTGGGGTATGTCTAAACACCCTCTCGCAGCCCAATTTGAAGGTAGTGGGCACGATGGCTGTAAGCAGGCGGCGTTGGCAGCAACCGCCTGCTTACAGCCATCGTGCCCCACTACCTTCAAATTCACTTTCCAAATGTCAGTGGTTAGGGGACTGGTGAGAGTCAAAAGTTAAAAAATCATGATAGTGAATCGCGGCGGGACCAGGCGCTTAGTTACCCTGCAGTAAGTAACAAAAAAATAAATGAGCCGTCGAAATACGCTCGACTTGTGAATTTCGTTTGAGCACTAGATGAGTATGCGTTTCCTAGCGTGCGGGCGAGAAACGAGACGACCGGGCGGAAGATCGTAGTGGAAAAGACAGTTAAGACTTTATATTTCGCGTGGAACTAGACCGAGGATTAAGAGGTCAGTGAATCACCGAGCGAAGGGCGCTTTCTTACTCGCCCCTTCGAGTGGCCAACTTGCCTTACTGCGTGTGACTATGGGTCGGGTCACCGCGATCAACTAGTGGGAGCGTTATTTTACCCACCATGTGGTTGCGGGATGTACTTTTATCATCATTAACAGTCCCCTCTCCCTCCGCTCCTGGAGGCAAACCATGTTGATTACTTCCCAGCAGAAGCTGAAACACAAACCTTTTTCGAATATTTAGTTACTTCTGCCAAACGAGGTTTTTAGATGACACCTTTATTGGCCTTACGTTTCGACCTTCTCGTCTTCTTCAGAGGCCTGAAAATGGCTCGAAGCTTTTAATTTGTTACCTACCCGACCAAACGCCCTCCCCACTCTAGCGTTTCCGACCTTGTTTTCCAAACGCTTCCCAAAAACTCGGTAATGAGTCCTAACAACTCACCGAAGGTATCACCGTGCGGAGCTCAGCTCACGCAGTGGGTTAGTTGAACCAGTAAGGACGAATGAGACTCACTTGTGTCTCACTGTGTCGCAAAAGTCAAAATTGTTATAGCGCACGTAGTCCTTACTGTAGCTCGCACTCTGATACAAACGGCAGGAATTCATTTGTAATAGCCAGACACTCATTTCGGTTGTTCATTCTCTGGTTTTCTCGCGAAAATCCAGAATGACTCCAGAACTTTCCTGGCTGAAGTTTCCGTCTCGTACGCCAGTATAACACATTTAACATCGAAGTCGTTCCCGTTATGCTGCTCCACCTTATGCTTGCCAAGGGGAGTGTCATGATATCACGCCTTTTCCCACTAGGGGTAGTTCTCCAATGCCGTGTAGCCAATAACCCTTCCCTATGTTTCTTCCGATTAACGTGCTGTGTACATGCCCCTACATCTCAAGCTGGGAATTGGGAGCGTTTGGGAAAACAAGTCGGGCAAAGTTCGGAAACGCTAGAGTGGGGAGGGCGTTTGGTCGGGTAGGTAACAAATTAAAAGCTTCGAGCCATTTTCAGGCCTCTGAAGAAGACGAGAAGGTCGAAACGTAAGGCCAATAAAGGTGTCATCTAAAAACCTCGTTTGGCAGAAGTAACTAAATATTCGACATCATGCCGAGGTTTCAAGAAGGGACAACATGGAGATTACAAACCTTTTTCATTTATTTGGGACTGATTCACGTCTCCTTCTGCTTCCATCGTTAAACAAATCTTCTCGTAATCTCTCGCTAATAAAAAAAAGACCCGGCCACCCGATCTGAATTAGGAGCCATACTACCAGAACCGGTACCAGAACGATTTCAATGATCCTACCCGTCTTTCTCCTCTTCAGTTGTCTTGAGGTCGATCGTGAGCGTGTCGGCCTTCGTCATCAACTCGAAATTTGTGCAGCGTATCGCATCGAGTTCTTCTGCGGCTTCGGCTGCTTTCCTCTTCACTGTTCGCAGTCTACACCCTTACGGCGTTGATTTGTAAGCTCCTCAGCACGCAGGCCGCAGCTATTTCAGCATCCTTGCTTCAGCCCCAACTGAAATTCCTGTGTGGTGTGAGATAAGTATCACTCCTAACAGTGAGAATCTTGCAAAGTTACTCGACTTCTCAACCCTGCCCCTTCCAGATTCAGCATTCGATATGTCTGTCCCGGGCTGAATACTCTCCACTGCCGCCATATGAGCTCCTGACGCTCAACCTGATGAAATCCTCCTCCTTGACAGTCTTCTTGCGGCGTTGCGCAAACTCGTCTAGTAATCGAGCTGCCTCTGTAAATTGAGCCACTTACTGAAGCGCAGATCTCTATGGGCAATGATTTGTGAGCCAAATGCAATATAAAATTCATTTGTATCAAATCTCGAATGTGATTAGAACAAACTCTACAATTTCCCTACTAAACGAAACGTCAAACGTTTCGGGAGCAGAAATGTCAACAGAATCACCGATGCATGGCTCACTCCGAGCGTTTTGTTCGTCATCTATACGCAGTTCGCTTCAAAACTCTTCTCTTTTTGTCTTACTTTCTTGTTCATTACAACAAATGGGCGCAGGTCGGTTTGGGGGCACGGAATGATAGTCAGCTAACAGCTTGCACAGGGCACCCTGTGGTGATCAGGGAAGTTCTGCAACAAAGCGGCTCATTAGTGCCAGTTTGCAGCCTCACAAGAATCTACAGGTCCTACCAAGACAAGGCCTATTGCTTAGCACGAACTAACAAGAGGAACTAGCAAAGGTGCCCAATGCCCCTTCCAAGCCGAATAGCGCTCAAAAAATGTTCTGTCGACCCCACATTGACCTCTGTACTTTACGAAGCACCCACTCGCTCCTTTTTTATCAACCACGCATGATATTAACACAAGACAAGTTCACAGGACTCGAAAGCATTGTTCTGATAGCAACACACGGTGGCGTTTACCTTTCACACACAACATTCGTCTCATCGTTCCTAGGGCCTTGTTGGGACAGCGTACACCAGCATTGAGGGAGTCTCACCAAGGGGGTCGCACTTAACTGTGTGAAAAACCTTCCCGAGCCCGAAAATATTTTTCCTGTGTTGACCTTTCGCGGATTTTCTCGTCTTGCGCTATATACCCTGTAGTTCCTGGGGCCGCAGAACTACCACTGAACAACAATTTCTGGTAGCTGTGAATAGTAGTAGTTCGACCCCCTGTCTCTCTATCTTTCCCTCTCCTCCTTTTGCTCGGCAGCTCTTTTTGGGGTACAACTGGAGAAATTTTTGGAAAAGGGGTGAGAAGTTGGGAAAACTGGCATGGGAAGGATGGTAGGTCGAAGTGGCGTTTGAAATGAAATGCATACCGGGTGAAAGGTCGTCGGACGGGGATTACGAACTTTCTTCCATATCTGCTACGGACCTCCCAGAAAAAAGTTGTCTTTTTAGAGGGGAGATTACTATTAGGTTGTCGGGAAAGTTCTCAGCGTTTTGTGTTATCATATTTTGTACATTCATTGCTGATTAAAAACTCATTCTCCCTTGCGTCTCAGTAGTACATCCTGAAGAGAATTCTTTGCGCTATCTGATGGTATAATTGCCGTTTCACCATTGCTTGATAAACCCTTTTTTCAAGATTTTTTCAAGCATGTGAAAAGAGCACTTCGGACGATTTTTTCTTCGGCTATAAATTGGGGCAATCCGCAATCGAAACAGCTCAACAAATTAACCAGGTGTGGGGGCCCAATAGTGCTAAAGAAAGCACTGGTGGCCGAATAGTTCGAGCAAATCTTGTTCTGGAATTTCAGGCCTTAGAAGATGAACTTCCATAGAGGCTCGTACGCTAAAGCAACACTTGACGAGGATTTGAAGGCGCTTGTGGAGGCTGATCCATCCCAAACACTTCGAGAGATTGCAGAAAGGTCAGGCGTTGGCAAATCCACTGTGGGATGGTCTTGACAAACGCATTGGGGCAAGGTTTCTAAAGGCTCCGATAACTGATGCCACCAATGAAGTTGGGACGCGGCAAAAAATTGGGCACGTCTCGAAAAGTTCTCCTCTTCACTGCTTTTGAGCACACAGACAAACGACCCGTTTTTTGGACCGAATTGTCACCTGTGATGAAAAGTGGATCATGTATGATAACAGGAGACGTTACGGACAGTAGTTGGACGCCGACGAACCACCGAGGCAATTTCCAAAGCCGAATCTTCACCAAAAAAAGGTCATGGTCACAGTGTGGCGGTCGTCGGCTGGTGTGATGCACAACTATAACTTTTTGCAGAGGCAAAACTACACAGCAAAGTCCTACCTGTGAAGAAATCGACGAAAGTACCAGAAAATTAGTCAGCTGCAGCCCATCCTGTCAAACAAAATGGTCCGAATTTCTTCTGCATGACAACGCCCAGCCACTCACTTTCACAACGTACTATCCATAATTGAAACGAATGAAGGTTGATTCTACCTCACCCAGTCCATATTCTCACAAGACTTCATCCAACCGACTACCACTTTTTTCAGGACATTGTTCAGGAACTTCCTTGCTGGGGAAATACTTCAATAACTTCATCAATCAGAAGCAGGCAAAAAAGGCCTACATGGACTTCGTGGATTCTCCACCCAGTTTTTTACTTTGATGGGACGACTGGTGTCACATTGGCAAAAGTGTGCTGATTCGAACGGTGCCTATTTCGATTAAATCCGATGAGTATTAAGAAAGTTATGATCGTTTAAAGTGAAACACTCAAAACGCTGAGAACTTTCCGGACAACCTAATAGCATTCAGTACCAATCGGCGGCGTAAGGCTGAAGCGATAGTAGCAGCGCGACCGAGTGGTTACGTCGTAAGGCCCTTGATGCGTGGTGAAGAATTTGAATACTTTCGTCTGCTCTTTCGAATTTTTTCGAAAGTGGTTTCTGTGCACTCGCGTTTTTCGGTTTTGCATAACCCTTATTCTTGATAATGTCGTGACGTAATGTTTGTGAACTAATGGAGCCATTGCGAACAATTCTATGGAAAACATTTTTTGACTGTTGACTTCTTCTTCTATTGATTTGAAAAGCATATTTTTCATAATGACTTTATTTTCCAAACGACATGACTGGGAACCGAATCCGAAACTGCACAAAGTTGTGTGCAAAGATGAGTATAGTTGGAAAATGCTTTCATATGACGTGGCGTTGATGTGGCAATCTGCTGGAGATCGTCATGGGCAAAACCTTCATTCATCGCTCACATAGTGTTGAAGGATGTCCTACCCCAAAGTGGTGCTTTCGCACCTGCTGGAAGTTTTCGGCTCGTATGACAATCTCTTCAGCCAGAAATGTTCTCCATGGAATCGTTCGCAATGGCTCCATCAGTTCAGAAACATTACGTCACGACATTATCAGGCACAAGAGTTATGCAAAAACGCTTTGAATTGCACAGATACTACTTTGTTTGAAAAAGTGCAAATGGCCAACCCTTGACCACGCACTCGCAAGCCCTACGACGTAACCATACGCCGCCAATTTGTACTAAGGCGAGTATTCTCAACCTAAAAAGCTCCGTAACTTTTTTCTGGGAGGTCCGCAGCAGATATGGAAGACGGTTTCGTAATTCCCGTCCGAAGACCTTTCAGCCGGTATACATTTCATTTCAAATGGCCACTTCGACCTACCATCCTTCCCTTGTGAGGAAGATTGTAGGTGGGATAGGCAGGATAAGGGAGGGGATTATTACCAGGTGAAGGGATTTCGGTGGAGGGAGGGGGGGTCGCACTGGCACCTCTACTGCACACAACGATTCTGAACCTAGTGGTCTAGACAAGGTCAGACTGATTCCATCTCGAAACTTCCCATTTCAGAGAAATTTGTCAATATGATTTCGGTTTCAACTAGTATAGGTATGATAGTGCCACCTCATGTAAAGGCGTTCTGGGACACATGAAAGACAGAAAGCAGCGAGATACAATAAACAAAAATCAAGATGGTGACAATATAAACGGTTTCCTTCAACAGTTTGCTTGACTCTTTGAACTGGTCTCGAACCGCCGCGGACGGGCCCGGGGCACGTGACTGACCACCCCCCGGTGACAACGAGTCTATACCATGTGCCTATTCCTTGTTCACCGATCCAATACACCACAAGAAAGCACGGAAAACTAAATTTATAGCGGCCGTTGATGAAATCGTCAGTAGCCTCTCCTGCTACATGTGTGTCAGTCTTTCACCTCTCAAATTTTCTTAATTAGGTGAGTTGCAATCAGACTAGATGTACATCTATTAAACGCGTATCTGGAAAAGTTGCTCACTCAAAGCCGGGAGATGGGGGGCAGTTCAGCGATGGGCGGGGGGGAATTCTACACTTCGATACCTCTTTACCAAATTGACCTTTACCTTATGCTCAGACGAGTTTGTTCCAGCCCACAAAGAGTTCACAGGTCAGGTCACCAGGTGAGACTTCGCAACAGACACCCAAGAAAAAACCACACAGGCTAGAATAGATCGGAGCAAAACTGCAAAACGCCCACCCCGTCGCCGAACTGCGCTGGGAGATTGTGCAGGTTGTCTACTCTCTTGGGTTTTTTTTCTTGAATTCACCCATGCAATGAATTCAACAGGGTGCCGATGCAAAGTCAGTGCTTTCATCCTCTCACACAACTCCCAACCAACCGACCTCGGAAGAGTGAAGAGCCCGAGTGGCCCGGTTGGGAGTTCATGCGAGATTCAGAACAACTGTAAGAAAGGCAAACTGTAACATCTGCCACCATATCCTGAT